CCAAGTTCCTTCCCCCTCCTGTATACCAAGCCTAAAATTGTGGTTTTCAAGTTCCAAAGGAATATGTTTTGAATGTCTTTGGTATGGGAGGGAGGCTGTAGAGGCGGAATGAAAAATGAATAGAAAGGGATAAAGTATCACCCTTAAAGGATAAGTTATCACTATCACCACTGATATGCTGCACATCCCAGCACCCCATCTTCTCAGAGCTGTTTCAAAGTGGGATTCCCAACAGGAACAGTAACAAGGCCAGGCCAGGGAAAGACAGGGACCATGCATGTCCTCGCAGGTGGGCCTTTCTGGGAATTCTTGGAGGGATATGAATGCCAGTGCCCACTAGCTACACAAGGGCAGGGCCAGCTCTGCCTGTCCACTGCTGCAGCCCCTTGACATGTGGTGCATAGTAGGTGCTCAATAAATGTTGGCTGAATACAACATTACAGCCTGCCTTTGGCAGAATGATGTATCTCTCTGAAGACAGGGTTGTTTTGGGGGAATGTTAATCCTCTCGCAATAATTTCTGAGAACAGAGAGAAACAGTTGTGAACCTGACATCCTGATCTCCTATCTTCAATATGATTTTCCCTGATATGCATAAAAGTGTGTGTTCCCAGTAAGAAGGATAACTCATGGCTTTGTAGTGTTTGGCCACTTTTTCCTTTTATTTAACATGTGTTTCTAGCTGGGGTTGTGTACACAGCTGTAAATCTGCAACAATTCAACACAGGGGCACAGCCACTAAACCTCTGGAGGTGCCGCCCTGCTCAGTCGCTCCTGGCCTGCAAGAGCCAGTTCTGGAGGAAAAAGTTATGCTCTTGTTGGTAAGTAATGGCTAAAGAAAAGTACAGTTTCTCGAAAGAAGACAATCATGATGTGCAGCTTTGACATGGCCCGCATCACAAGGGGTATCTTCATTTGCCCTCTGCTTAGAGAGAGCTTGCCTTTTCTTCCTTTCTCTTTGCTTCTTAACTCACCCTCCAAGATCCACCTTGGGTAGCCTCTCCTCCAGGAAGCTGCCCTAAAATCCCTCACAGGTTATAAGTGGTGGCCTAAGTTCATGCTCCCAAACCTCCTGTACCCAACCCTTTAGTAATAATAACAGCTAGCATTTGTTGAATATGTTATGCAAGGAATGGGGACAAATCCCATAAAT